AATGCCTCATAAATTATCTAAAATATAAATGTTATAATTGGCAGCTAAAATATACCATTTCATATTAAGATGAAGTCATCATGCTGGTTTGTTTCCATACCCTAGCTTTAACTTAATTCAGTGGTTCTCAAACTTTTGTACTGGTGACCCCTTTCACATAGGAAGCCTCTGAGTGTGACCCCTCCCCCTTATAAATTAAATAAATATATAAAAAAGTGTAACACCATTATAAATGCTGGAGGCAAAGCGGGGTTTGCGGTAGAGGCTGACAGCTTGTGACCCCCCTGTAATAAATTCATGACCCCCTGAGCGGTCCTGACCCCCAGTTTGAGAACCCCTGACTTAAGGCATTTGTCTACAGTATACCAATTCAAGAGCCACTTCTGAATTCTTGTTCTCCATGCCATGAAGCTCAGGCATATCATGGAAGTTCTGCACTAGAGGCCTGGAAAGGAGCATGAAGGCCAGTGATAACGATACATCAGGCTGGCTGTATGACAGCAGTACAAATACACGTGTCAGTGCATACCAGCTCACCTATCTCCAATTGCTAAAAACTTGCCTCAGTGGCAACCTTCTATGAAAAAATAAGGGAATATAGGTTTAGAGGTATCATCAGGATAAAATGAATGAAGAACCCTAATAATGGGGGAGGGGGGATTGCAGACTTCCAGGAGAGACTGAACCATTTTTGTTGATAGGTATTCTAGGAAATGTTAATAAAAGCACAGTAAAGTTCTTACAATGCGTACTAGCAAACAGTAAGAAAGTAACAGAAGTGCCGAGAAGCTTAATGGGGGGAGGAGGAACGGGTATAGCCATTGGTGAGTGGAGACAAAGGCAGCCTTGTGGGTGAAATTAAGTTACTGGATGAAGAACTAGAAGTGGCTGGAGCAGTTACCTGTTAGCAGGCTTGATATGTTAGATTCTAGGAAAACGTGAAAGATGCAGGGGATTTGATAACATAGGCCTAGGGCATCATGAAAATGAATAGCCCATCTTATTTTTCAGTCTTCATTGTTAGTGTTCAGTAGGTGACTTTCTTATTCTACTAAAAGTAACAGAAATGCTGATCTGTTCTTAGAAATGCTAGCATAACTGACATAAGTGGTAGAAACAAGAAATGGAATAAACTGAAGCAGTGAAAATAATACTAAAGTAAACCTTGTCAAGAGTTATAGCAAGATACAAAAGATTCATGCTCATCTCAAAGTAGTACATGATCCGTTTCCTCAAGATTAAACGAAACTGTCTAATTAAATGGAAGAACAAAACATGGACAGTTTGGGGATACTGAAAATAAGATATTCTCAATGTTATCTGTCTTAAACATCTAAACATGATACTTTAAGTCCCTGTTCCAGGCCTTACAACAGCTCTTCAAGATTGGCTTAATTCACAAAGTCTCTATTGCCCCCAAAGAGCAGAGATCAACTACTGATCAGCCACTAACACTGAAAGACCGAGACTTGAATTTGGAAAAAAAGTTGCAAGTTTCTTTTAAGAAAGCATTATCTTCAATGCAGCATAAAACAATCAGGGAAAAAACATTAAGTGAACTTTGCCCTGGATATACTGCCCTAGATAGATTAAAACTCATAGGCCCAATACCAGATGCTATAGATGAAGAAAGAGGAAGTTTTAAAGGGGAGAAAAAAAATGAAAGAATGAGCATTGGCATTAAACACCAGATAGCTGTTTGAACATGAGTATATTTAGCATAATACAGAACATGAGAAATGGCCCAACAACTAAAAAACCAAAGCCACAGAACCAAGTTGATATAAGTCCAAGTTGAAGATGTGACACAAGATTGTAGAGACAAGTACAAAGAAGTCTTCAGACAACAAAAGTAAAAAGTGAGAGCTTTTCAGGTGCAATCATTCTAAACATCTGTAAACAAACGTCAGGAGCATTCAAGCACACTATTTAAACTGTACTTAGAAAGAGTTAACACATAATGGAAGTTCAAATTCTTCCTCAACTACCATGCATCTGTTGATTGATAGAAAGGAGAATTTATGACCCAGTCTCCCTGGTGAAAGTTGGTAGACACAATCCTCCTGAGAGTTCTACACTGACACCCAACAGCAGTTTGTTGTATTTGTATTGAGAATGGACCACGGGGAAAACTGAACAATATTTTACATAAGAGACTCAGATGGTCTAAATTTATAAAAGCAATCACAGGAGATTTTAGAGCTATTTGACAGATTACAGGCTGTAATCTACTGCCAAAGTCTTAGTGGAAGTCTGGAGGATCTAATTAACAGAACTGGAACTACACAGATGAAAAATCAAAGATGGCTGAGATAATATGGAACATGTTACTTAACCAACAAAGCTGACCCCAAATATTAATGCCATATGTTGAGACCAGAGCAGGAAGCAACAAGTAATATGTAGATGATGGAACAAAAGCTGAATTTTTTCCTTCTCTTCTAGCATTTATAATTGAAGATCCAGATTTTTAATCCCAGAATTGATGTTTGCAAAGGTAGGTATTCTGCAGTTTCCCATTCTGATGCCACAAATTGTGAAAACAAAATCAGAATACAAGCCAGCTGAATTCAGAATTCTGTCATACCTACCGTCTTCTCCAGGCAGCTCAGCATCAATTGATCATATTAGCAGAACTGCCCTGAATGCCCTCCCAGCCAAAAACAATATTTCCAACTTTTGGGAGCACAAACCCATTAAAAAAAACATTAGACATTTTCATATGGTCCTAGAAACTATTTCACTATGTTTTAAATGATTCATGCTCAAGTTTCTCTCAATAAACCAAGGTAATAGCATTATTGTAAATCAGTAACCTCATAACCCTACACTGAACCATTCCCATGACAGTAATCAGCTGTCCAACCACTGTTTAACTTGAACAGTCACTACACAAATGAGTCACCATACAATTATATATTTGGAGGCTGTAAGTGCAAAAAAATTCTCACTTAAGTTCATAACATAGGAAGACATTATCACTAAATCTACGATAAGCAGTCATATGATTGAACAGAACTGAGTTTAAAAGAACAGGAGTACTTGTGGCACCTTCTCTGAGGTGCCACAAGTACTCCTGTTCTTCTTTTTGCGGATACAGACTAACACGGCTGCTACTCTGAAACCTAACATATTTGAGTTTGTGGTCATCTATAGCTAATCCAATTGATATAATTAACCAAGAAGAATCTATTTTAAACTCTCTAAAAATACACCAGTTACAAAACAATTACATGGCTAGTTACAACCAACATATAACCAATTTCACAGGATGAATATTTAGTTCAAGCTACAGTATATTTAGCATAATACAGAACACAAACCTACCTTTAAAAGCCACACCCAACAATGCACTGTGCTCCAAATGAATAGCGATATTATAGAGGCTATTGTGGCTAAATGGCACATGCATCACTAATTTAAAAATCAAAGTATCAGAGGGGTAGCCGTGTTAGTCTGAATCTGTAAAAAGCAACAGAGGGTCCTGTGGCACCTTTGAGAGTAACAGAAGTATTGGGAGCATAAGCTTTCGTGGGTAAGAACCTCACTTCTTCAGATGCAAGAAAAATCAAAACAAATCTCAAATGTATGAGTCATCTCAGAGTAAGCAAATCCAGTCAGAAATGGTGGGACAGGAGGCAGCACATATATACAGATTTTGCAGTACCGCCATGGGTCACTAAAATATATATTAAAAATTTAAGACCAAAACACACACCATGGAACATGGGGATATTAGATTTAGTACCAACCCCATTTTGAAGAGTTAAACTATTTATATCAATGTTATTTCTGTTCTAATATTCTATTACCCACTATCCCTTCCAAAGCCTGAGATTTTTGAACAGCTGGGACAACAATCTTGCATTACTGTAATCCCAGTTCCAATCCATCAATTTGGAAAGGGTGCACTTTAAACACACCACCATATCATTTGTAAATCGCGTTTCCTTTACTTCAGCTATGTTATACTGATATAGCCCAAATGACACTGGGTTTTGTTAACAATATAGCCTATCTGCCCACATTTAAAAACATGGCTTACAAAGATCTACTGTTCTACTAACCCAGAAAAGCTTTTGTCTTTCTGCCTGCATGGTTTTTAGCTACAGCAGAGTTAACATTCAGGGGAAGAGTAAAGGACTGCAGTTATTGCAAGAAATTAAAAAAGTCTATGATTAGTTATACTGAGACTATAATGCAAGGGCACATTACTATTTTGTTTATCACATTAAAAGGCTTCTAAAGAAATGTGTGTGCCCACCTCACCCCAACCATACATTTGGGATATATAATTTCTAGCCATCTGGCTAGTAACTAGAGGACCACAAACAGCACTGAGAAAGGTGAATGAATTCAGCAGAGATCTAAAAAACTAGAACTTCATAACCAGGCTCAAGTCGAGTATGGTTATTTGGAAACCTCTTAGAGTACTTCTAAGGTGCCTATCACCCTGCAGCCTATCACATTAACTTGCATTTACTGAATCTTTGTGGCCCAAGATTGGAAAGGTATCTGGTAATTGACATATCGTATTTAAAAAGCAGAAGATGGGAGTGTTTTCAGCCTCTCCCCTCTGTGGGAAGATCTGGGGGTTTATCTGTTGGAAGGAGGTGTGAGTAGTGACATAGCCCGGTCAATCACCAGCATTAATCATCCTTCAGGCAGCTCCCCGCGGCCTCAACAAGGCACAGCCCCGATGGGGGTACGGCGCTGGGGCTCCCAAGCCCGCGTCCGACTAGACACCCCAGCTCAGGGCGGCAGCCCACCCACCCAGCTACACGAGGCCCCAGCGCTAGACCCGTCCCCTGCCCGCCGGGGGGAAGGCTCTATCCGGCCCGGAGCTGAGCCCCCCCGCAGATCCGAGGAGGGGGGTCTGGGACTGACGGGAGCAAGTCAAGAACCCCTCGGCCTCCCGGCCCCGCTGCAAGCGCCGAGCCCCTCGCAGAGGGAGAGAGCGACAGCCCGGGCCCGCAGCCCCCACGGACCCCCCGGCTCACCCAGAAGATGAGGTTGAGGAAGACCAGGACGGTTTTGGAGGAGGTGATCCCGCACTGCCCCATGGCTCCGGCTCCGGCACCCATCCGCTGCTGCCCCTCTCCGCTCCGCCGCCGCCGCCAGCTGGCCGCCTGCCTCACGTGATCCGGGAAGGGACAAGCAAGGAGCCTAAGATGGCGGCTGCCTTTGTCACATGATGGGGGAGGTACCTAAGATGGCGCCCCCTTCTGCTCTTAAGGGAGCCGCAACCCTGTGGGGGGCAAGGTATGTATGTAAGGAATGAAAGACCTTGTCGGTCAAACACACACCCATCCTTATCGTACGCCCATGCACACGGCGGTGGGGCCTGGCCTGTGACATGACACCCATGAAAGGCCCTGAGTCAGGGGTGTCCAAGAATGGCCAGGGGAATGTGATGTGACACAAAGGAGCAGTCAGGGTGGGCGAGGACAGGGCAGCTGGTTGAGCGCAGCTCTGCACTGGGTGCCTGCCCAGGAGCAGCAGGCGGGACAAGGGGCCCTGTATCACCAACTCAGTGCAGGCAATAAGCCCAAGTCTGGTCTCTAAAATCATGAGGTGAGCTTCAAAATCATGCAATTTAAAAAATAAGTTTGGATTATTTTATTTGGCTTCTAGGTTCTGCACCTTTAGGACACACCCAGGTCACGGTTTAAAGCTTTTCTCCACACCCAGGAGGAGTAGAAAATGCCTTTGGTTAAAGTGAAGTTTCTCCCATAATCCCCTGACACCAGGAGAGAAGGCTTTAAGGAAAACTAAGTATTGTGGGAACTCGCAGCACGGGAGAATTTCAAGGTGGTTTTGAGGTTAAGGCATGGGAGTGGGATTCAGGAGCTAGGTAGAGAGAGGGTGGACCAGTTGTTATGGTGTTAGCCTGGGATATGCAGCATTGCCAATCACAGATGTTCAAAAATAATGAGTCAGCTTGTTGCCGGCACAGAGTGCCCGAGGACAGCAACAGCGGGGTCCGTTGCCCAGTGTGCGTCATGCCAATAAACACACCAGGGTGGAGAAGCAATCAAAGTTTATTTGAGATCTCAAAGTGGTGCAAGGAGACAGGCACGTCTCAAATCAAGCACACCAACATAAGCAGCCTTTGTCTTTTATACAGTTTGTAACTAAGCCTTTCCCTTCTTCCCCCGTCCTTTCTCACCCCCCCTCCTCCATTCCCACCTCTCCCCCTTTCTCCCTCTGGCTACAGTACACAACCTTGGCTATGCAGCTTGTTCTCACTGTTTTTTTTCTGCAAGTAATCTTGTCCTTTAGCTAGAAGCATGTAGGTTTCCCTTATCACTACTGCTTCCCAGCTGCTGGCCTGTGAGGTTAGTAAAGTTTAACATGCAGGGGCTTTGATTCACTTTGGCCTAGAGCAGGGGGGCTTCATCGACTCTCAGGTCTTCCAACCCCCTGAGTTACCTAGGGTGATGCCTAGT